TATGAAGGTGGTGATGTATGGATGAAATAGTGATGTACATATGAAGATAGTGATGTACATATGAACAGAAAGTGATGTGTTGCATGTTGACTACTTTTAACGGTGTGACGAACTTAATTGACTTTGCATGGTATTGTAGTGATTCAAAATGAAAATACATGATCTTTATTATGTAAGATGCAGTACCATGTACATATAATGCTGATTGCTCTCACTCATTTAATCTAATTAAGATGATGATGCACGACACCTGCGATGCACGTGACACCTGCGATAAGAGTAAAAGCTAAAGTGAACAAGATTCATGACAATGATGTCGAAAGTGATTCCATGAAGAGAAAAATTGTGAACCTGGAATAATGACAAGAAAATGTCTGGTGGGAGTCATATGTTTCCGTAGGCTTTATTTCTGTATTTATAAAATTGTCATTGATTTCAAGTGTCCTATTTTGCATATAATGAAATAACCAAAATGCAGTTGGCATGATTATACAATCAAAATATCAAAACAGTTTGATACATACGTAATTGCATTTGCTCGCAGCTTCTCTTTCGTGTTATTCTTATTAGTTTTCTTCTGACGAGTGCTTATAATAACAAATTTTGATACACATTTGTTTTAAAAAGAGTCATCCGACTACAAAACCCCTGTTGATGGTACAAAGGAGAAAAAGTCATCACCTATAAATCTTCCAAAGAGAAATTTGACATTTGAAAATGAAGGGAAAATTCATACATTTTCTTGCGTTGGTACAAAGGGGAAAAAGTCATCACCTATAAATTCTTCTAAAGAGAGCGTTAAGCATATGAAAAATGAGGGGACAATCTCAACATTTTCTTCACCTAAACTGTTTTACAAACAAAACCAAAGGTTCTTTTTTTCTGGCGGTGTTAAAATTAAGAATCCAGGTCCGCCATTACGTGTAGGACTATCAAGAAACCATAAGGTAAACCACTTCACAATAACGTTACGCTTTCTCAATAACAACTTACTTACACCAAAATATTTTAATAAAATATGTGAAATGAGTTGTAGGTGATTTGTAAATATTTCAATGTATAATAAACATTGTAATTGTACACTAAAAAAAACCTCAAAACATGTCGTTATGGCCAATTGTTGGAGAGTGTAAAGTCAATCTATGAAAACCACCAACTAAATAGTATTTGGTAAGCCTTCCTCCAGCCATGCTATATACCTATGAAGGATTTTAGGCTGTCACGTGATAATTTCCCAAGCAATGTGGGTACTTCCCACCGTTCATTCTTGGGATTTTAGTTTTGGACCATAGTTTCCACAGTTCTTACTCTTACATAGTCACTGACATTTTTTAGCTAACCCACTTCACTAGCTAGTTCGCTTTTGGAGTAGCATTGATCTTTCGACCTACCAATACCATTCCACGACATTCAACATTGATTCGTGGCTTTGGACGTATAATTCAGTAATTTGTCTAGATTCTTCTTATCCACTAAATAATTTTTCTTTCACTAAGTGCTGTTGGAATGAAGTTCGACCATATGTCTTAAAGTGAATGGTTTGAACCTGAACTCTGAAGATGACTACCGCTAAGGTTGTCGAAACGTCAGTCAACATCAACACGAACAGTCCTTCTTAGGACTTTATTGTCATGGGTCATCTACAAACATATATATATACGTCAAATGTCATTTGTGACTGTTTAGACATCTAACCGTGGTTAAATATGATTAACAACAGAATGTAAATTTGTATTATAGGCTATAACGTCTTCCCAAATAAAATAAGAAAATTGAGCAGTTCTTTTTGACAGTTGAATGGTGAAATTATACGGTCTATTACAAATTGTAAGGGAGAGAAAGTCGTTTGAAACGTAGTTTTTGGCTTGCGCTTGTAGCCAACCATTGCATCATTTGCATATTATTTAAATTATTGGTCTCTTGCACATTAAGTATATAATTTTCACGTGCAAATGCCCTCAAGAGCGTTAACTGTACCTCATAAAAAGCTACCTTTTCAAACTTATTTGATTCATTTTAGATACAATACGTGCAATACACCATATGTCTTTCAATACTGGCTCCTTAAACTTATCCATACTAAATTCCATCACTATTGTCTATAAAATGATTTAAAAGTGGCAGGATTGCATGTCTATCCTACGACTTAAAACTTTTGCCATTAACCTTTAAATGATGCCCGAGTATTGACATGCAAAACTGGTATTTATATGTAGATTTCAATTGTCTCGGCTAGTTTGTTTTGACCAAACCCCCAGTGATCTCAAATATATATGTATGTTCTACTTTTACACCCTAACAACATTCATTTCAATTGAATTCATGATCCACGTTTAGATATACTAAAAGCATAGAAAACCTACATTGTCTTTGTATAAGCTTTGTAAGTTACAAGAAAAATATGCATGTGTATATGTTTTCAAAGTTCCTTTGTCGACGCATCCTTGTAAAAATCTCACTTTTGAAATATGTTTTTCCATATCTGTACATTATCATACATTAGGGCATTGTCAATCGCTTAAAAATGTTTTGGGATAAAGAAACAACAGTCTCAACCTCAAGGCCAAAATATGTCAAATGTCATTATACGAAGTTTGCATTCTGTACAGTTCTTGCTCTGGGTTAGATTGTCCATCTCCTAAATGTGTTTTCTCGGATATGACTCTAGCCAGTCACGTGCTGCTTTCATTGATGAATTCATTGGTCCCTGTCCGCCCACGTATGCGACTTTACCTTCTTGTAGAGTCTCTCAGGCAACGCCCATAGGCCACATTTGCATTGTCGTCCATTGTATCTACCATTATTTGACATGGAAGATTGAGTTCTTGTAGCTTTGCGCGGCTTTGCATCTTTCATATTGATTTCGATGCTTCGTACTTTGATAAAGTTATTCTAAATGAAGTGAAATTAGCTTCCTTCATGACTTTATCAAGAAATCTTAAGACATGTTTTCTCTACACAAAAGATTGTCAAACAATGAAACGGACGATTCT